ATTCACAGAATTTCAAATATCAGATAATAGTTCATTTAAACATATAGAATTCAGCTTATTCAATTACAGAAATACGATTTTAACTTACAGAAATGACAGCTTTACACAGATTTTTGTTGATACATGATTGTCTATACTCGACATATTTTATGGTTGGTCATTTAGAATGTCTCAAAGTTTTAATAGAGTAAGAATTTTCAGAAAATATGCATAAATAAAAAAATGTACTTATTTGCAAGCTATCCACTCATTGAGTTACAAGCTCATAGATTTTGTTACATTTTTCCTTCAAATATAATAGCCGAGTTGAGTAGCTTTGGAGCCTGTTGATCCACCGAGTTGAGTTACACACATTGTCATTAGCTGTATGACTCATTTTGTTAGTTTATTTAGTTAATTATTGTTTAGGTGGTTTTAGTCCATATTGTAAAGGAAACTCTGTCATTTTTTTATAAAAATGTGTCACTGACAAGCAGGTCATAGTCGACTTGATGGTGATTATTTAGTTCATATTTCTTTTGGGGTACGTGTAGCTTTTGTCAGAAAAATTTATCATGGGCTCACTGCATATTTGGTATCTTTAGTACACTTGGGGAGTTTTGGTTGTAAAGCATAGTAAATATCGATTTGCCAGCATTTTATTTTAAATAGTTTGAGGAAATAATATGTACTGGTTTGAGGAAATTGATTATTGTTCAGGTGGTTTTAGTCCATATTACAAAGGAAACTTTGTCAATTTTTTTATAGAAGTATGTCACAGTCAAAGCAGGTCATAGTTGCCTTGATGGTGGGTCCGACACTTAGCTGGTATCTACTATCGGTGCACGACACGTTTCGGATCCATTACGGTGATTCGGGACGGTTGTGTCATACACCCCACCCACAAAAACTCACTCACAGGTGCGTGCACGTACCATTACGGGCTCACGCTTACTTGGTAGGCATACCGCTGCTCATGTCAAATCATTTCATTCAAAAATTCAAAATTTTCGATAAGATAGTTCAACATAGTATTTGGTCATAGGTTCAAGCTTTGGCATTATCCATTTATGACAATTGTACAGACCAAAGATGAATATTATAGATTTTAAAGTGTCAAGATTCAGAATTAGACTGAGGATGAGCTTTAGCGTGGCTAAATCTTGTTGCGTCATTTTTTGCCAAATTTATGAAATGAAAAATAATTTTTTTTGGCTTAGTTTCTCCCTGAAAAGATCTGCCTCTGCTGCACGCAAGGGACATGTTGAATACAAATTCAGACGAACATCTTCACCTTTTAGATAAACTGGTTCAGCAACTCACGGAATTTATTCTGGACTTATATATACAGGTTGCAGAAGTTCTAATGAGGCGGGGTTTTTTGGAGGCTAGACTATTGGTAAGAACACTGTTAAAAATTCTTTCAACAAGGCTGGGAACATTATTGATCTGTGGAAGTCTCTGTTTTAGCAATAAATGGCCATACATAAACAAATTTGCAAGTATTTCTTTAGAGAAAAGAGAAAGGATTCTTCAGAAATGGTTAAGGCATTGGTTTCTAACTCCTATCAGGCTTGCCTTTGTTTTCATCAAATTTTTGTGTCTCCTTGTCTTCTTCACTCAGGTAATGCTTGAAAACCTAAATTCTCTTTCTTGGAGTTTGGATATGTTTTGTGAACTTCTCATGGACGAAAAGTTAATAATATTAGCAAGTTTTATGTGGTAAAAAGATTCTCAAGCCCACACACGTAAGACAATAAACTAAGACGTGTTATAAATAATTTTGTGCTTGACGGCATAAATTTTTTTGAACTTCATTTCTATCAATGTTACGTCTTATTAGAGATAGAGATGTCAAAAGAATCGTGTCAAATTGACATGACCGACATTTGGTGGCCTAAATAAGTGAATGCGTGTGGTCTCAAGCCTCAAAGCACTGGCCTAAGTTGTGTTGGCTTGTGGATTGTCCTAGACAGTCCAATCCCCTACACTACGTTTAACCTTAGTTTTATCAATGTCGTATCATTAGATAGAGTGAGAGATGTCAAATAGAATGTGTCGAATTGACGTGACCTATATTTGGTAGTCTAAATGAGTGAATGCGTGTCGTCTAAAGCCTCAAAACGTTGGCCATAGATTTTCTCACATATTTTGCCAACACACGAGTCACATTTATATTGGTTTATGCAGTTTGTGTCCTCTAACATACTTTTTCTATGGTTTGTTTGCCTGCTTAAATAATTCCATTAGTTTTTAACATTTTCTTGATTACACGAACAACGTAAAATACACAGAGAAAATGGTATTTGCACTGCCACTATGATGTAAATACAATTAACGAAAATATCAGAGTTGATTCCCATGGAAATTCAAATAAAATTTATTTTCGACGTCAATAAAAATTGTTCAAACTGCGGATGCATGATGCATTGATCAAATTTCAGTTAGAAATGTCACAATCTACAATAGACATTAGCCTAGAGCTTCCCTTGTTGGGTTCATATGGAGAATGAGGAGTTGAAGACTGCTTTTCGCGAATAGCGAGATGAATAATTGTGGATTCCTCAAAGCCGCTCCTCATAAGCCTCCTTCGAACATCTGTACAGATTCTTTGTGTGAACTTCAGGCTTCAGCCATCGGAGAACGGTAATGGAACAGTCTTCACTGCCCTAAACTTGCCAACATTATTGAGGTGTTCATTCTCCAATCTGTTCAATCAATGCATATAGTTAGCAGAGTCGAGTATATGATGCTAACATGTTCGAAACATCTATTCAGAGACTCCATTTGTTTAAAGGGAGGGGTGTTGGTGGGAGTGGGGGACCTCGACCAGCTTACAAATATAAGTACGAAGTATAGGAGGGGACGTAAGGCCTAACCTTGTATTGAACATCGCAAGTTAAGAAATATTCTCTATCTGGTTTTTCTTAAATTTCAGAAGTAAAAACTTGTAGCAAACTTTTTCCTTTTAAGTAAAAATTTTATTTTACCTATAGAAGTTCCAGTGTCCACGTCGGATGACCTCAAGCGAAGCCAGGAAAAACTCGAGCAAGCGTTTCTCAAACTTTCCAGCACTGAATCTCATCACAGTTTCCACCCATGCTACTCTTAGGACAAAATTCAAGGCCTAAAACCGGAATATTACTTGTTCAAAATTCAAATCAACAGAAAATTGTTGCTGCCATAAACGCGCAAATACAACATCTAAAGGAAGAGAGAGAGAGGAAGAACTCACAATGGATATATAATAGATGCTTTTATTCTTCAATATCAGATCATCTCTAAGCCATGGATTTTTGGATTTCGGGTTAAGAAGTCCCCAATCTTTGACAAAATCCCAGTACAACTGATAAACTGTGGCTACCAATGAAGTCACCAAAACTATAGCCATCCACAATTCTGATTGCTGCCGTGCATAGGTTAACCTTGCCCCTGCTGCCACCATAGCCGAGACATACTTCCCCAAATTAGCTAGGTGGTCTGTGTTATTTTCATCGAACCATCTTCTGGCGCACTAACAAATATCATTTTTCAAATTGCACATAATATTAGTTGAATATCAGAAAAGGTTCAGGTCGATTTTTAGGCCAAAGAACAACTTTAAAGTAGCTGCATATTCACCTGCATCGCGCGCCAGTAATAGGGCGCGAAAGAGATAACATAAGCAAACTCCATGTATAGCTTTCCGGATTTGCAGGTCCCATAATTGTGTGTTTTGAAACTTCCAGCAAGAAAATAACAGGCTGCTGATTCCATGTGCCTCAATAATGGAATCTGTGGAACGAATCCAAATTAATAATGGAAAAACATGAGAAAGAGGAAATATAATGGATCAATATTCTAGATACCTGGCTGGTAAGTTGATCAGCCATGAAGAAGTCTACCATCAGAACCTGCAAAATTTTTACGCAGACATTATAATAAACAAGATTTTTAGCTTTTTTTTTTTTGTTTTTAATATGTAGAAATAGAATGCCATAAAATGTTGACATTAACAGTACTGTTTAGAAGTACCTTGTAAAAGGGGGAGCAAACTATGTTGCGTATGACCCTAATGAAGGAGTATCGTGTTGGACGATATAAGATTTTCAATGGACATACGAGCAGCACGACGAAACACTGAAACAAAGATTACAAAGACAAGATGATCAAGATTTACTTCAAAACTCAATAAATGAAAAACTCGACTATCGCTATTATTGAAGGGGCTTACGAGCAGTAGAATTCCCGGGATCATGTTGACTTGAAGCGGCGAGAATCCTTTGGAGAGTAAGATTAGGTGAATAACCATAACCCCAACAACAGCAGTCATTAAAAAGGTGCAAATGAGGAAAGCATCTCTGTAATTGAGGGCTGTGCTGGACTTGAATTCGAAGATGAAATTGCAGTTGATTCTTGTGCTCTTCCACATGAACAGGTTGCATCCATACATAAACATGTGCAAGCTTAGCAATGCAAACGTGCTGCAGATACATCAAATCACAGACTTAGCCTTAACCCACATAAATTTGGATCATGAGAGTCATCAAATTATAAATTTGGATCATGAGAGTCATCAAATTTGTGTAATTTTATTGAGGCGGGATGATAAATAAAAATCATTATTGTTCAACACTAACCAAATCACTTTTGAATACTACAACAAAAATAAAAATAAAAAATTGTAACTTTCGAATTGTGACCTAAGCATGACCAAAATATTGCAAAAATTTTACCTGAATATAGGGTAGACGGTTTCCTTGTAAGCGGCTTCTATTCCAGGGGAGAACGTGCGACTTAAATGCGTCAATATTACATAAACACTGAACAAAGTTATAAAGCTACCTGTAAATAAACCTGCAAAATACAACGTCAAATTCCATTTCATTTCGGAAATTGATTCAAGCACGTCGTTTTGGCATATAATACTTGACAACGCCACATAAGATAACAATGAAATTAGCCAAAAAAAAAAAAAAAAATTATTATTATTATTAATAATATTATTTAGTCTATATTTGTCTCTCATTCTTTCAAAACTCATTCTTCTACACTATTTTTCAACTATACATTCATATAATAAAATATTCTATGTGTAAAATCAAAATCTTTTACTAAATTTTAACTATACATTCTCCAAAAATTCACTATTGGAAACAATGTTTTTCAAAAAAAAAAAAAAGCCACTAAACAGGGGCTTAACACTGTCTAGTTGAACAAACCAAACATGTTATATAAGTTAATTCATGTTTAGCTTGAGAATGGAATGTAATTCGAGTTAATTTGGTGTCGTAATGTCCGAAACAAACTCTAATCTAGTCCCTACCATATATATTGCAATTTTTAATTAAGATAGAAACAGAATTTTGAGAAATACTCGGCGTTTGGCCTTGAGATATTGTGATTTAGGACAAATTACCTAGAAGTTAGGATTTTATGTTTGTTAAGTTTAGTGATGGCAGAAAAATCCACCCCATCCCGACGGGTTGGCGGGGATTGCCGCCCCGTCTCAGGGCTGATATGCCCTGCCCCGAATCCGTCCCGTGAAGAATAAAAAAAATGTTTTGGACATTATTTGTTTCGAGTGCTTGCTTTAGATATTGATATAGCTAGTTTGAGCATTATTTGCTTTGAATTTAAAAATTTTGAATTTATATTTTAATTGAAAATTTAAACAAAAAGAAAAAAAAAAAGCGGGGCAGGCCGGCACCCCGCACCCACACCCGCCCCGTCTAAGGCGGGGCGAGGCTAGACTGGGCGAGGGAGTGGCGGGACATGGTCCGCTCCGCTGCCATCTCTAGTTAAGTTTCAAAATTATTGCAATAAGAGCCTATTTCTTAGTTACATGATTTCTTAGTGTTAGGTTTTAATGCAATTTACAATTCTGTGAACAAAATGATTGAAATTAATATTGTTGTAAAAGAGTTTTTAAAAGTCAGATGGTCATGTAGTAAGTTAAAGTCCTAGAATTCAAGTATGGAACAAATGAGTAAATGTCCTCGCAATTTTGCTAGCCTATTGCCTAGCTGTCGCTCGCTTGTCGCTAGGCTCTCGCTCTAGCGACGATATTATTCGGAAAAACCTAATTTGCGTTTTTAAGGCTTTTTACACTGTCCATTCTACCTAATTGCCTATAAATACCCCACGCCTTGTACGAAATTTGGTGACTGTTCATTGTGCCTCTTCTTTATAACATATTTATATTATTTTTTGAAGATTCAAGAGCATATTCATTTATTGATTCTATCCATTTACTCTTGATATTATACAACAGCAGATTGTAGGAAAAATATCAAATCCATTTAATCCAAAACACCTACTTTCTAAACATTTTTAGGAAGGTATTTTCTAAATTAACTTCAGAAGCTGCTGGAGGTTGAGACATGTTGGATTACAAGTGCAGGAAAAGTACAAGAACGGGACGTTCTTGGAATTGCACTTTGAAGAGACAATTGCAGAAGATTAAGATCTTTTTCTATTTTTTAACCATACATTCTCCAAAAATTCACTATTCGAAACAATGTTTTTCCCAAAAAAAAAAAAAAAGCCACTAAATAGGGGCTTAATACTGTCTAGTTGAACAAACCAAACAAGTTATATAAGTTAGTTCATGTTTAGCTTGAGAATGGAATGTAATTCGAGTTAATTTGGTGTCGTAATGTCCAAAACAAACCCTAATCTAGTCCCTACCATATATATTGCAATTTTTAATTAAGATAGAAACAGAATTTTGAGAAATACTCTGAGTTTGGCCTTGAGATATTGTGATTTAGGACAAATTACCTAGAAGTTAGGATTTTATGTTTGTTAAGTTTAGTGATGGCAAAAAAATCCACCCCTTCCCGACGGGTTGGCGGGGATCGCCGCCCCATCTCGGGGCTGATATGCCCCGCCCCGAATCCGTCCCGTGAAGAATAAAAAAAAATGTTTTGGACATTGTTTGTTTCGAGTGCTTGCTTTGGATATTGATATAGTTTGTTTGAGCATTATTTGCTTTGAATTTAAAAATTTTGAAGTTGTATTTTAATTAAAAAAAATTTAAAAAAAAAATTGGACATTGTTTGTTTCGAGTGCTTGCTTTGGATATTGATATAGTTTGTTTGAGCATTATTTGCTTTGAATTTAAAAATTTTGAAGTTGTATTTTAATTAAAAAAAATTAAAAAAAAAAAGAAAAAAAAAAGCGAGGCAGTCCGGAGCCCCGCACCCGCCCCGTCTAAGGCAGGCTGGGCGAGGCTGGGCGAGGGAATGGCGGGACGAGGCCCGCTCCGCTGCCATCTCTAGTTAAGTTTCAAAATTATTGCAATAAGAATCTTTTTCTTAGTTACATGATTTCTTAGTGTTAGGTTTTAATGTAATTTACAATTCTGTGAACAAAATGATTGAAATTAATGTTGTAAAAGAGTTTTTAAAATTCAAAGGATCAAATAGTAAGTTAAAGTCCTAGGATTCGAGTATGGAACAAATGAGTAAATGTCGTCGCAATTTCGCTAGCCTATTGCCCAGCTGTTGCTCGAGCGGGACACTGTCGCTCGCTTCTCGCTAGGCTCTCGCTCTAGCGACGGTATTATCCGGAAAAACCTAATTTGCGTTTTTAAGGCTTTTTACACGGCCAATTCAACCTAATTGCCTTTAACTATAAATACCCCACGTCTTGCACAAAATTTGGTGACTGTTTATTGTGCCTCTTCTTTATAACATATTTATATTATTTTTTGAAGATTCAAGAGCATATTCATGTATTGATTCTATCCATTTACTCTTGATATTATACAACAACAGATTATAGGAAAAATATCAAAACCATTTAATCCAAAACACCTACTTCCTAAACATCCTTAGGAATGTATTTTCTCAATTAAACTTCAGAAGCTGCTGGAGGTTAAGAGATGTTGGACTACAAGTGCAGAAAAAGCACAAGAACGGGACGTTCTTGGAATTGCACTTGGAAGAGACAATTGCAGAAGACCAGGAACTAGTGGATTCAGCTGATCTTGAGGGTTACGGGAATTAGATCGGGAAGTCTAGTGGACTTGGCTAAGCAGCTTCTTACTATAAATCCGTATTGTCTATAGTGGATGTAACTGACTTGGTTTCAGAGTTTTTATCCAGCTGGGTTTCTCCGCCAACAATATTGGTGTTATTTATTATTTTTCCATGTAAATTGCGGCAATCCAATATAGGATAATTGGATTGATTGACTATTCATCTAGAAACAATTAAAAAGTGACTCGTTGCTTGTTAATTATATAATTCCACACGTAAGGACGAACTTAATAAACTTTCACTTACTATATTAAGACAGCATTGTGAGTTGTTCAAATAAGACTTGCTAGAATCGATAGAAATTATTGAATATTGAATAAAACTATTTTTTTAGCTGAACCAAACAATAGCTAAATATGAATGAGATTTTTTGACATTAAGCTAACCCCATTGAACCCACATTAAAAACATAAAATTAAAATGTGGGATTATATAAAATTATAATATGTAGAGTGAGAGAGAAAGAGAGTATGTATATATATACCTACGAAAAAGGTAAGCATGTGAGAGTCTTTGTGGTGTTGGGGTCTCAAGAATTTCATTGCCTTTTTCCTGTCACTGTTGGCGAAGTGCTGTGTGAATAGGGACTCCACTTCATCCATTAGCCTTAAAACCTTCCAAATGGACGAGATTTTTAATTCTTTTTATCGTTAGTACTATTCAATACACCTTACACAACACGTAACTGTAAATAATTGTCAATATACTCTTCATTATAAATACAAAATTCGAACAATTCTTCAATTATATCATATGCGATAATCTTAATCAATTACCTTATCAGAACTAACGAAATGTGATCTTTTGACAACTTTAAGGTAACTTGCTGAGGCCTGCTGGTTCGATACCTATTTATGGATATGAGGATTAGATAATAATTAAAAATATAACTAAATTAAGAAACCAATCTAAAATGCAATGTTTCAATAAGAAATTTTTTAAAAATCTTTTACAAGTGAAATTGATATAAATATTATGAAAAAAAAAAAATCTTACCTTGTCAAATTTCTTAAGAATCTTTATAAACGCCACCATGTTTAATGTGCTGCCAAAAACAATGAAATCATTGTAAGTGGAAACAGCAAGTAGTTTTCAATTTTTGGTCTAATTTTGTTTTTTTTTTTTTTTTTGATAAGGTAAGTGTATTATATCAAAAGTGTAAAAAAAAAGTACAAGATCACAGGGGCATACCCCAGAAAAACTAGGCTAGGAATAAATGTCTTCCTAGTACCAATAACAGTAACCTGGATTAGTGCTTATAATTTAATCACGACAATAGAAAAATATTCGCAGGAAAACCCCATGAGCGTTGGAGCCATCTACTCTCACTAGATGGGACCAAGCCCCTACATAAATCCACTCGTGTACAAACAGAAAAAAACAATGTCTCGAATAACAACAGATTCATGTTTAGGAGTCACACCATGGGTTCTAGCATTACGCTCACGCCAAATAGCATAAATCGAAATCGCAAATATCAAACGAATAGTCTAATTTTGTTACTGTAACGTAACTATTTAAATATGAAAATTACACCACTCGTTTCCCATATATAATCCCAAAATCTTTGAAAAATGAGCAAATTGGTCGGCAACATTTCAAACTAGTTTGAACGTATCACGAAATATTAAACATTAGATTGCAAATTACATGAATATAATCATGATCCTGAAAAGATACACCTCATTAAATGTAAGATTATAGGTTGAATGAAAATTATAGTTTCGCGTTGAACCATCTCGTTTAAAAGTTTAAATTATTAAAGAGAAAGACAAAAGTATTTTAAAATTAGAAAAAAACCTGTATGTTTTGAGCAAGCCAAGGCCCCTATAGAGCTCCACAAATGCCCCTCTAATCATCTTTTCTGCATATTGTATCTTCTTTCTGTTAATGAATTCTCCTGTGCTGCTGCCGAATTCCTTCGTGGAGGAGTTGTTCACTAAATCCTCCCAAAGCATTGATGTGACAGCGGCTATGGTGCGCGACGGTGTTGTTGCTGGAATATCGATTCTCAGGGCCATCTTCGGCTTCCCTTTCTTCGTCTTTGCTCGTGTTGTGGTGGCGGAATTAATGAAATTTATGCCATTCTTCTCCAACGCTGCAATAACGTCATCTTCTGTTTGCAAATCCTTCGGGCTGTCACAGTATTCACTTTGGCTTTCTGCATAATAATTACTTATAAGTGAAAAAGTTACTTATTTTAATACTAATGTTGGAGTTACTTAATATACCCTTCACTAACACAAGTTTTAAGTAAAAGACGATCAAATATAATATCAAGATGACAAAATTCTTAGAATCAAATCCACACATGGTAATTAACTTTTATGTTTGTGACGTTGTGTGTATAATGCACGAGACAACGTAAATACTCGATACCTCAAATTCACACTTCTCAGTCACATTTAAGGTTTGACAAAATCATAGTAAAATAGAAAAATCTTAAATAAATAAAATTAGTGATGAAAAGATTGATTGTGATACAATTAGTGGGCTTTGACATGCTATTAACCCAACAATTAAGTGCTGTACTTTAAATTATATGTGTAGCCCACTCAACGATTAGTGCATTTGTAAGGCTGAAAAAGATTCAACTAAGACCTCTTTACTTAATTTATTAATAATTACTCCACAATACAATAGTTTATGGAGTATTTTCTTTCTTTAAAATTAAAAGGTAGTGTTTAGCACTTTTTTTTGTCCTTTGTTTGTATACATTAAGCCCATGTTTAGTTGGATTAAAATCATACATTAAGCCCATGTTTGGTCTGGATTAAAATCAGATTTTAATTCAAGTCAAAGTCAAACATTAATATTAACCACATCTTTTATGGGTCCCACAATTTTTCAACCACACATTTCAAAAACTTTCATCAAAATCTACTAAAAATCTAATTTTAATCTCCACCAAACACCCTCTAAAATTATTCACAATATATCGAATTTTAGAAAAAAAAATATAATTATGTTTTATTATGCAACTTTTTCCACATGTAACTTTCTATAGCATGAACTTTAGTGCATTCCATTGCATGGTTAGACTTGAGTTGAAATTTGTTGAACCACTTCATTTAAAAGTTTAAAATGTAAGAAGTAAACGTCTTTGTTTATTTAAATTCCTTATGTACATGTATGAACGTGCTCAATTTTGAGACATTAAGACTTAAACTTACGTCAAATGATAACTCACCCAAGAAATCCGAGTTCCGGCCGAATGATGAGCTGGTATGCGAAAGGAAGCCGGAGCCCGTATTAGCAGCCAAATTTTTCCGACGCCGATCACTGAGAACCCTCTTGAGATCGAGCAAAATCTGAAGCTGCTTATTCAAAATCTCCCCTCTTTCTAGAAACTCAGTTTCCTTAGTCTCATAAAATTGGTTCACTTTGTTAAGTTCATCATCTAATGTCTCGAAAAACACCTTAACCTATACAGAACAAAAATTTCAAACGTAGTGAAACTTTTACAAGCTCTATAATAAATGAGTATGTTTGATACATAGTATAGAATCGAAATAGAAAGCATGACCGACAAGCCAAAATCTTCTCTTTTTTCTTTTTTAATAATGTCTAGTACTGCGTAACCCACTATACGAAACTCGATTGGGAGTGCATCGTTATTTATTAATTAATTACCTCGTCTTCCTCAGAAAAGAGATGAGCAAGCTCAGTTTCATAAATTTCTTCTTCTTCTCCATCTTTTCCTTCTCTAAATTTTCTCTTGACCTGTAATCAAGAAATTAATACTAATTATTATTTACTAATAATTTTCTCCATGTCCTTTTAGGGTAGTTATATTTGTTTCGCTTCTTCACGATAGTTTTATGATGCAAGTGACATGAAACCAATTCCAAACTAAACAAACCAGAAAGTGCAAACTTTATGATATCACAAGCAAATGTGTTGTGAACCGTTAAAAGAAAAAAGTATATTTAAATGAAACAGAAGAGAAACGGGAAAAAGTAAGGAGAATAAGGCTTGTCATGTATAGTAGTTGATGTCGAATCACTTCATCTAAAAGTTTAAATCGGTACATGTAATTTTCTCTTCAACACGCATCCTCATGTGTAACTGAAGTTCATTTTTTTTCCAATCAAAACCTGACGCGAGGACAATTTTATTAAGTCCCTGTTTGGTAGATATTTGAATCAAGATTTTAGAGCTTGTTTGAGCCCCATTTTTATCTTAGAATGTATTTTGAAATAGTAGATTGATAAAGAATGTGTGGTTAAAAAATAAGGAAAACTTTTGTATTTACGTTTAATATTATTTTAATGAAAAATGTGTTGTTGAAAAGAGGAGAGAGAAAAATATATTTTGAAAATAGTGGGGATCAAACAAGGACTTAATCTAAAATCAAAGTCAACAATTAATTTTAACCATTTTTTTAACCACACACTTCATCAACTTTTATCAAAATTTGCTAAAAATCTAATTTAATCCCCACCGAATACATGCTAAATGTGTGAATGCTAAATTTGAAACTATGCTCTGATATCATGTTAAACGGTTTAATTCGATGTTTATTATTTAAAATTTATCTTCAATAGTTAAAAACATCCAATTTGTTGGAATAAAAATAATACATGCCATTACTCTAGTTAATTATAAAGGTCATTAGTGGCATAAGTTTTCCGGTTACCTTTTTTTTTTTTTTTTGAAAAGAGGTTACGTTTTTTCTTGCAACGGATTTTAAATTGAAAATTATTTCGATTTAGACAGTGAAATTAAACATGAAGGCCAAAATCACATATTCGGTAAATATAAAAACAATAATCAAAGTATAAAGTTTTGAACTATTTCTTTTAATAATTCTAACCTTTTAATAGTTTTCTTGAAGTTACGTCACTTTATTTTTCTTTCATGTTATTAACAAAATAGGCAACATAATGTGGTCGATTTATCCAAGACTAACAATATTTTTACTGCCTAGAAAGAATAATGCTATTTGCAGTCGCTTACTGCAGCAGTCGCTCACTGCAGCAGTCGTCTCATGTGGCATACACACGTCAAGTGTGTATTTAATGCATTAATGTGGTTAAAAAACTACCACGTTAATGTATCAAATAACTACATATCATGTGTGTATCACATAGGGCGACTGTTGCAGTGAGCGACTATGAATAGCATTACTCGCCTAGAAAACAGCGTACTATACACAAACATGTAACATAAAAGAAACAAACTATTAAATTTAATTAAATTCAGATATAAATACCTGAATAATTTCAGGGGCCTCTTCGTCTCCACCACTGTGAAACCTGCTGGTGATTTGATTGACAACACGACAAATGGGGTCGAAAACGGAGATGCCGAAATCACAGTTGGAGTCTGGAGCATGCTTAGGTTTCCTAGCCACCTTAATCTTTTTGACGTGTTTCTTCAGCTGCCAATAATTCACAAATGCATCTTTCCATTCTGGAATGAGCTGCGCTTCCAGCTCCTTGGAGAATTTCACCATGCTATCGGCCTGACTGGGAGGCGGCCGCCAGAAAAGGTGGACGAAAACCGGAGGAAGGAGGAGGAAGATAAAGAGGAAGAGGAGGAGAGTTTGGAGGGATGGAAGTGATATTAGAGGACTATATAAATAGAGTAAAACTATTTAATTTAAATTAAAAAAATAAAAGAGAGATAGAGAGGGAAAAAAATAAAAAAAATAGATCGTGTCTGCTCAATTACTAGTTATAGAATTTGTTTAAATCTGGAAAAAAAAGAAGCAAAAATTAAATGCTAGTCTTTTTTTCCCATTGATTTGCCATTTCTTGATTTTACTTTAATACTTTCTATATATAGAAAATAATAATTTGTAAATAAAATAAACACTTTCTAAACAATTAATATTTACATACCAAAATATTAAGCATGCCTAATCTGCTACTCACAGTTAACAAAATAAAAACTTTTAACTACTGACATGGTAACATGTCACATCAATAGTGAAATTTTTTTTTTATCGTGTTCACCGAGGGCAGTGCAGGAAATCAATTATAATATATTAAGACTAAACAATTATAGTTGACAAAAAAGAGCAAACTTTTATACATCACTATTTTCGATTTCTTTTTTCTTTTTTTTCTCTATTATTTTTAATTTTTTCATTAAAAATTAATTTCTGTTTATATAGCTTACCTTTTAAACAACTTTGCGTACACAACTTCTAATGACCAAATATAGAAAAGTGGTCTATGACTCAAAAAGTATTCCAAACTAAAATTTAAGCCTATTTCTGGGTGTGCTTGTACTATTCGATATGCAATCTGATTTCACTACTTTTTGTACTATTAAAAAGTCTTTGAGACTCCTATTTTATCTTTTTTTTTTTTTTAAAAAAAACAGCTTTTAAACAAGAGTCGAACACTAAGAACAGTGTCCTCAATTGAGATTGCAATGAATTTTAATTTTTTTTCTAAATTTAGATGTCTTCAAATGGGATTTTAATGAAATATATTAAAATCTAGGTGTTCCCAATTGAGATTTTAATAAAATTCAATGAAATCTTTTAAAATTCAGGTATCCTCAATAATAGGTGAATTTATAAATATTTTAATAATAGAGGAATTTTAAAAGATTTGGATGGATTTCAAACTTAAAAATATATATAACCAAATCTTTTGAAATTTCACTATATTTGATGAGATTTTTATGGAATTTGTGGAAATCTATTTAAATCCACGAAATTCATGAGAATTTATAATCTTTTAAAATTCATCAAAATTTTAGTCGAGATATTAATGTGCGCCTAGACGTGCATTAGCGGTCAACGGTTGGTTGACCACTAAATAAGGCATCAAGTCACTTAATCGTTGACCGCTAAATAAGGAACTAAGTCACTTGATTTGTCGTTCTCGCTATGCATCGCCCATAAGCGGCTCATTCAAGACACCTAAGCGCGCCACCAATTCTACTCCCTCATAATACATACTTAAGGGCAGCATGGTGTTGGCAGTCTCTTCTAGGATTGGATAAACGGTGACCATCTCCAAGTGGAATATTTTCTTAAACATCCAATTAAAACTCAAAGCTATAAGAAATTATGTCAAATTTATATTTTTCATTCCATTTATGATGAATTTATATAATTTTGTGGAAAACCAAAATACATTTATTATGAACATAGGTAAATATTTTATGAACTGTGAATATTTGTGAATTTGTAAACTGAAACATTTATATCATTCGGTAACTCTCCAAATTAAATTCTCTTTTAAATTTGAACGAAAACGTATCACAAAATTTGACTTATATTTCTAACCACAAAAGAAAATTTTTATTAATCACCCATAGGTTAACAACCCACTAAAAATTGTCTCTTAAAAATAAACCGGGTCGACTGTTTTTAATTGATTTCTCACGTGAATGAATAGGAAAGATTGAGTAATCAAACCGGCCGAGTCATGAAGAATTCAATCGGCTTTATATTCAGTATCACAGATCCCACTTCAGATGTTAGTGGAACTTTCTTTGTCCCTATTGGGGGAGATTAAAATCAGATTTTTAATAAATTTTGATAAAAAATGATAAATGTGTGGTTGAAAAGTTGTGGGACCCATAAAATATATGATTAAAATTTATTGTTGACTTTGACTTTTTATCAAAGTACTAAAATAAGAATATATTTCGATTTTTTTTTTTTTTTTTTTAACATAAATTAATGGGAGGGAGAAGCACTTAGAAATTGCATTAATGGTGGACTATCTAAACAAGTTTCAACCCTGAAGCAGATGTTAATGGAACTTTCTTTACTGTAAAGTAATCAAACAAGAATATATTTCTAATTAATAAATTTATTTTTTATTTTCTTGTAATATAAATTAATGGGAGTGAGAAGCACTTAAAAATGGCATTAACGGTGGATTCTTAGCCAAGTTTCAATCCTAATAGGATTGCACCATCTTAAGCATAAATACAATGTGTCGGGTGGTTTATATATTTTTTTATATACGCACTCGAACATGTTTAGGTGCGCTACAGAGCATATAAGTTTTTTTTTTTTTTTTCATTTATGTTATATTTTTTGATAGGTAAAAATACGACAAATAACACATTTTTTATTTTCAAAAATTAGTTTTTGAAATAATTATGTAGAGGAACAATTATAATGTGAGAAAAAATGTACCTCTTGAATTTGTTTTATATCAATTTTATGCTCATTTGACAAATAAATATTTTTAATTCATCGGTACTAGTAAGTAAAACTTTAACCCTATGAAATTTTAGTAAAATAAATAATCACGCCTCATATTTAAAGTATTTTCCTAGCAAATTCAAAATTGAAGTAAATGATATTAGTATTATTGAAAATTAAAAGAGTCGTGTTATTTGTACATAATTGTTTATATAATGATCTGCAAATAAATGATATAGAAAAGAGAGAGAGAGAGAGAACAAAAAAGTTCGTTATTATAATATTTTTCTCTCTTTCACGTCATCTATCTGTACATCATTATGTATACAATATACAAATAACATTACTCAAAATAAAATAGTTAAATTTATTTTCATTTAGAAAATATTCCAATCTCACTGATTAAATAATAAGAATTAGAGTGGGGAAATAGAGGATGGACACAACACTTCATCCATTATTTTTAAGAATATTTATGTACACGAAGTAAGAAAATTAGAATGGCTGTCGGTATGTTATCGAATTGATCCACTAGAGAAACGAGACTTCATAAGTTCAAGGGATTCGGGAGATAGGGACTCTCACATGAGATATGAGGGTGGCGGGTACTTCCTCATCAAAAGTTTATGGAATTGGGCTTAAAAAACTCTAATAAAAAGGGCAAGAAGCACTTTCTTTGTCAAAATTAACTTTCTCCCTTCTTTCTTTAGTTTTCATTAAGGCATGTGCAAGGGCGTTCATCTAGCTCCTTTCTGGCCCGAATGTTTTCTTCAGGCGACTAGCTCTGCTAGCACTTGGACTTAGTCTAGTCGAGCACCAACCACTAACCTCAACCCGTCTTACCTTATATATGACGAGCTGAAATTTGATTAAGTCAGAAAAAATAAAACTTGTAAAGGTAGTATTGTAAATTTTGCATCAACTCTTCCAAATTAATGAGTGAGGCAAGTCATATCACTACTTTGAGTATGAAATTTGTTTTTTGCATCTTCTTTTCTTGTAGATTTTTGACTTTTGTTATTTACTTCCTTCTTTTTTGATGTCGTTAACATTACATTAATAACTTAGGTGTGATCTGACTCACGTTTTCATTAGTGGAAACTTGAAATGAGATTTGGATCTTGAATGATTATTACAAGATTAAGTCACTAATTAGTTTTACTTATAATTAGTTTTGATTAATTAATTAACACATAATCTGACACAAAATTAGTGGCAGAATGCTTTCGGTGCGTGCAGGAAACAAGTGAATGGATCCATGGCCAGAATATTGCAATTCTTTTTTATATTTTCAATTGAGAGGAGAAATTGGACCACTGTTGGGTTGTTTTTTTGTAAAGTGCAAATGACAAAAAAAATAAAAAAATTTATGAAAAAATGATGAAGCTCCAAGTGAAGTGAGTTTTGAGAAGGAAGAAAAATTAATATAACCACGTATATTCCCTAATAATTATATAATCAGTCTTCGTGTAAAGAAATCGTTCAAATTTATAGCAAGTCATCACGTAACCTTCACGTGTCTAATTTATGAAGCGGATTAAATTATTTTCCAACTTGGATGAGCATCACCCCAAAATTCGATGAAAGATGTGTTTTCATGAAGATTATGTAATAATTTAACTAAGATTTGAATAATTTTGAACTGAGTGTAAGATTATAACGAAAGTTTGAAAATCATATGCTCTTTTATAAAGAAAATAGAACCAACTTTTTTCTTGGCCTATAGGTTGGACACCAATGGTCCCAAGTTCCCCCTCAAATTATTAATTTTAAGACGTGTTTATGTCTTTCCTACTACTTATAACACTATTCTACTATCTTCGCGAGCTCACTGGAATGATATTGCATTTGCACTTGTCAAATAAGCTTTGGCCTCAAATTCTGTTTGAAAATATGTAGTTTGACCCTAACAACACTTAGAGAGGGGTGAATAGGTGATAATTCGGAATTAAAAATTAAATAGTAACAAGTCACTATTAATTATTTTTTATATGGTTAAACATGCAATTCAGTTATTCATATGTTGAAATATCACACTTAAGTAAGCAATAAACGAACACACAAGAATTGATCACGGAAAAATTCAACTAGATAAAAACTCCGGACACTTTGCCGTCAACAATCCACTATAAATGATTTATAACTTACAGTCTACCAGACTAAACAACGACATGTACTATCTGATCTTCGGACTGTAATTCCAACAGTTCTCTTGGATTTTGTGTTCCTGCACGAGCTCCCAGTTGTAATTTCCAAAACTCACCTGAATTGTGTTCTCCTGCAACAACTCCCAACTTTGTGAAATCGTCTATCTCCTATGGATGCACGAAGAACAC